TCCTTTATCCAAAGTGGCCTCCTCTCCAAGGTACTGGGTGTATTCCTCCTTCTCCCTGAGAGATGTTTGCACATGGGTCTCATCTGCTTTATTAGACTCAATAGTCCTTGCTTTGTGACACCCGGAGTGGACCATTCCCACACCCCTGGACTCTATACCCTCCTCTCCCTGATTCTCGTTAACACTCATGCAGAATCCACAGTCTCACTCTTCTCATTTGATCTTGTGCAACCACAATGTGCAAAGAACACATTTCAATTTTAAAGCTACCACTCAAAGTCAAACTATTTTACAGACGACCAACATTTTTAATCCCATGTTATTTCCCAAGCAAAATAGTATACCTCACCTGTCACCATAGTTTTTATGGTTCTAAATTCTAAACACAAATAAAAACCCTAAGTGGGCACAAACAATCAGAGAATGAAACGCTCTGTGTTCCTTTGTCTTTACAATGGGCATGTTTTGAGTCTCTGTCTAAATGCAGGGACATCATACATGCACCCAAGTCAATGCTAAGGATCCTGAACCCTGACCAATTTACTCCAATAATAAACCCATGCCGTCAAGTCTGTGAGGGTTTAGGGGACATCTGAATAAGCTCTTCGTTAAATTAATGGCAATATGAAAACCCCAATATTTACATGAAAGGAAAAATTTTGTAAAATGTGCTCATTTGAAGACTCCCTATATCTTAATAGAACTCAATAGCCACGAGAAGAGTTGTTTAGAACTTACACCCACCTCCTTAACTGCTGGCTTGCGTGAGCACACAGTGAAGATGGAATGAGAGGTGTGCGGATTGCTGGTGCACACGCAGCACACTAGTGAGGCCGTGAGCTGAGGCCATTCATCATCATAAAAGAAGCAGGTGGGAGAGTGGGCTAAGGAGGAAGTCCTTGACAGTGAGAGTTGAAATACCTATAGCTCTCAACCTCAACATCAGGGATACCTGCTCTCTTATGAGGGGCGGCGGGGGAGGGGGGATGCTGTCATGTATATTGTAGGATATTTAGCAACAATTCTGGCCTCCACCCACTAAAAGACAGAAGCCACCACCACCCCGACTTGTGACAACCACACATGTCTCTGGACCTTGCCAAATGTCCCAGTGGGGAGCAAAGTCATCCCTGGGTGAGGATCACTGGGATAGATACTTACCTGATAGCTCTCCTCTGCAGGATGCCTGCTTCCCCGCAGGTACCTCGGGAAAGCACCCCACAGGCCACATACTTGCCCACAGGCACACCCTCTCAAGAATTCTGATAGGAGATTCTTCATTCAGGGGAACAAAAGGCCTCCTGAAACTGAACCTTGACCTGAGCCACGGGTCACCTCCCATTAGTCAGGACCATTTCCCTCAGGTCTTGGACAAATGGGACCCTGGGGAAGCAGCAAGCTGACAATCACAGAGAGCTAGGTTAAGGAAGATGCAGACAATGTTCAGGAACTCTGGGAAAGGTTCCCTCTCTTCAATCTCTCTCTCACAGCACCAAGGGCTTCGGGCCACCAAGTCTTGGTTGCACAAACAGCCCCCTCCCATCAAGAGTAGCATGGATTCGTCCACACAGCAAATGCTGCGGCTATGCGAGTGGGTGATCTACCATGCTAGCCAACCACACAGCGGTCACTCACAAACAGAATACTGAATGTAAGTCGGACACAAAA